AATTTAATTATTTTAAATTATAATTTATGTATCAAACTCAAAAATATATTATTTAGTAATAACAATCAATAAGAATATAAATTAAAATATATAAAACAAATTACTATATATTAATAATGAAGAATAAAAAACTTAAACAACTAAATTATAGAGTTATATAATATATAACATTAAATGTAAATCATATATTTAATTTTTTTATAATACTATCAAAGTGTTATATTTATAAAAAGAAAAAAATTGTGTGGGTTAAACTCTAATATATAGTTTTTTATTTAGGATTTAGGAATATATAATCCTATCTAGATAAATTTTAATATCTTAAACAAAAACATTTGTATTTCGAATAAAAGATAAATATATGAGATAATATTATGGAAATACAATTTAAAAAGATGTCAAAAAGATTTTGTTGGATTTATTTCATTTGTATTTCAAATAGAAAAGTAAAGATATTTAAAGATATTATCATTAAATTATGTAACATTTGATAATCTTCATAATCTTCTTAAGGAATAGTCCATTTTTAAAAAAATCACACATGAATCTAGGTTGTGACTTCTATTTTAATATATAAGATGGGATTTGGTTTATATCTATATATATAGTGGCTAATTCTGTTAAATTTTATAATAGCACATATATTTTTAAGATAGCAATTCCATGTATATATATAATCCCAATAAAATGATAAATTAGTAATCTATAATTTTGATATATTTAGTTAAGTTATATCGAAACCAACATAACAATTCTATGACAAATACAATAAACACCAACTAAGATAATAAAATAATATAAAATAAAAATTTAAGAAATTTAGATTATGTATCTACAATAAGTTAATAATATTTTTAAAACTCCCATGAAAATGTTTAGACCCAAAAAAACATAGACTAATAATTTATAATATTTGATAGTATTTCATAAAGTTATATTGAAAACAATATAATATTTTTATGGAAACAATATACACCAAATAAAATAATTAAAAATGTAAAAAAAAAATTAAGAAATAATAACATCTTTATAACTCCCATGTAAATGTATATTCTCAGTAAAATGATAAATTAATAATTTATAGTATTTGAAAAAATTTAGTAAAGTTATATCGGTTCATTGCTACAAAAAAAACTCCAATAATTTTAAAATTTTGATTTCCTAATTATTAAGTTTCCAAAAAAAAATTGTAGGTTCATTTTCTATGGATAACATCCATCAACAAATCCACCAACTTGAACAAGGGTTTTCAGTGCTTCTTATAACAGTATGTGTAAGGAGTATTTGAGAAATAAATAATCACAAACCAGGCAATACCCAATCATGTACGGATTCATATGCTATGACCACAACGTAAGCCCCATGCTTCCATTTTTAGATATGCATATATATTTCTATAAGGTTTGGCATATCTAGATTTGATAAGATCAATTTATTATCATTCAAGGGCAATTATTGGAAGGTCGGCTTTCCAACAGCAATCAAACAACTGAGCCAAGATTTTTAACCGAAGGAGATATATATGAATTCTCAGGATTCTCGGTCGTACCAAATTACCGTGAACGGAAATTAACACAACTCTCGTACTACATTCAGATCGGCCAAGAGACGAGAATGTCAAATGTTACTTACACAGGTCTAATGTTTCTAGTATACAGCTTTTCCCATCAGAAATACAGATCTCTACTATGATTAGCCATTAACCCTACCTACTTATCGGGTAGGTTACTCATCAAGCTTTCAATAAAAACCTTCTAAACTTTTTTCTTAACAATAAAACATGTAATGTGCAGATGTCGTCGGGCAAATACGAATGATGCAAGAAACAAGACCACACAACCCAGAATTGAATAAAAAAGTCACAATTGGTCTCATGCTGAACGGCTCAGAAATGGTAAAACTCACGCTATGGAACAAACCCGCAATAGAGTTTAGCATCCTGCAAAGCAAGAAGGATAGGCAATTTAAAGTTGTCATCATCACTAGCATAATACCAAAAAATTTTGGAGGTAAATAAGTTTTAATACTAAACATATGAAGTATAATATTTTTGGGGTTTTAACCATGCACCAATAACTGATTAAATTTCTTTGCAGGAAAACTAGAACTCGCTTCATCACCAGCAACAAATTTTTACTTTCACAAATCGATCGGACTCATCAAGCAATACAGAGGACGGATCAGAAGTCATCGACAAGCGTAAAAAAAAAACTCAAACCATCCCTCGGTTTTCTATTCTCATTCTCAAACAACTCGATACTTGGTTTACTTTTTACTTTCAGAACACTTCATCATTGGATTGTACTTTTTAAAAAGTCACAATCCTTAGCTTATTAAAATCTTATGCATCTTAGGTATTGTGCAAAATATTATTTAAATATATATATATATGAGATAAATAAGACTATTAAAAATATCAAAAAGAAAGAAAAATTATACGCATAATTGACCTATAATACAATAGTTTATATAATTATAAATTATAAATTTAAAGTATGTAATCCGCGCATAGCGCGGAGAAAGGATCTAGTATCTATAAAAATTAAGGGTTTCAGGTCAATGCAATGCAGCAAGAACATTAACAAATACCCAATTACCTTAGAAATTTGCAAGAATAGAAAAATGGCCAAGTATGGGTAGAGGCCCACACTGTTAACATATTTAGCGAGAAACAGGATAACAATCACATGTACATGGTTAATTGAATTCATTTAAATACCACCCAACAAACATGTGTTAAAATCTTCTTATTTGCAGGTGAGTCAAATATTTGCAGAGATGATGTTTAAACATGGTTTTGTGCATTGTGACACACACGCTGCCAACTTGATTGTTCGTCCTTCTGGTAAAAGGAACATATACGGCAAGCAAAAGCCACAGTTAGTGCTTCTGGACAGGGCCGGCCCTGGGACATGCTAAGTGAAACATTCGCCACAAGTCCCCAAAAAATTTGAAGAAAATTACATGAATATAAATCCCTAAAAAAAAATTTATGCTCCCAAAAAAAAAAAATTTCCATAGAAATAGCAACAAGTCTCCAAAATCTCAAGGCCGGCCCTTCTTCTGGACCATGGCTTATACAAGGAGCTTGACTTCAACACAAGATTCAACTACTCTTCACTATAGAAAGCCCTTGTTTTCTCAGATGATAACGCCATCAGAAAATACAGCGCCAAGCTAGGTGCTGGAGATGATCTCTACGTCCTTTTCGCGGGTATTCTAACAATGAGACCATGTAAGCGGGTCATTGACGTGTGTGGATCATTCAGTCATCCAAGGCACTAAAGAAGACATGTCAGAGCTACAGATGTATGCTTCACAGTACTTCCCTCAAATCTCTGAGCTTCTCAGGGGTTGCCCCGTGTTATCCTTTTGATGTTGAAGACATATGACTGTCTCAGGTCGGTTAACAATGAGCTGGTGAGAGGTTCGTCGCTTGAGTCATTCTTGATTGTTAGGAAAGTGTTTTGTGAAACGGTGATGGAGGCGAAGTGGTCACAGAAGAAGTCTTTGGTGTAGTGGTTAAAGGTTTGGTTTGAAGGGTTCTCTGTGGAAGTGTGGCTTTGGGTGATGCAGTTTGCAGTTTGGATTTTGCAAGTGAGAAAGGCCTTGATTCTATAGTTAAATTATCACGAGTTGATGAAAATTTTACAGCCGCTTATATCTTTGGTCTCTAGGTGTGTCCATGATTTACATTTATCAATCTTTATATACACAACACAGGTTGTTGTTATGTACTATGAGAAAAATGCTTCTCATTGGCATTAAATTAAATTTAAATAAAAACTTATTTATTTCATATTTCTTATTTTCAAATTTTAAACACTAATTTATTATTTTATTTAAAATTCTGAAATTATTATAAATAAGTTCTATTTCTGCAACACTAAACCATATTATAAAATTTATATTTTACACTTCCAGTTGTACAATATAAACTTGTGCATATTTTTTTTCAATAATCTATATATCGATCCTAAAGCTCATCATTCTCTGAAATTCGAATCTTATATTTTAGAGTATAGATGTATTTCTAGGTTTTGATCCGTGTTTTAAAAATGCGAATATATTTTTACCACTTTTATAGTATAGATTTGAACCTTTAAACAAACCATTTTCTTATCATCCAATCCAATTCTCACACTGTATTTCTTCATAGTAATTCATATATACAGTTCCGGTATAAAATGCGGACATTTAATTAAAAACTAAACCGAACAGGTACGGTTTGGTTGGGAATTTGATATTTTTTGTTTTATTTATTAGAGAAAACCTTGATTTAAGCCCGTGGCCATCATCTTCTTCTCTTTTCAATCTGTCGGGGACGCTCAACAGTCGAATCTGTCTCTCCTTCACACTCGCGTCTCCTCTGTCACCATCTCCACCGCTCAAAACCTCCGGCAAACCGTTAATCACTCCGTCACCGGTAAACCCTCCTTCTCTCTCTCCGTCTCCAACGGTTCTCATTGTGTGTCATCACACCTACATAACCCCCTTATATAAACCCTAAATGCATTTTCAAAATCTGATTTGTTAGCTTCTTTGGTTTGTCTGAAAGCTTGTCTTTATGAAAGTCGATCACTTTACATGTTGGGTTTGTCTGAAAGCTTACTCCTTTGGATCACTTCACTTGTGGTTTTTCTTTATGTCTGTCTGAAAGTTTACACCTTTGTGTTTTTTTTTTAAATTTTGTCTTTTTGTTGTCTAGATGGAAGACATTGATGCTGTCCAAAAACCAGTTGTTGTTGACCCTCCATTATACAACGAAGCTCCTCCCTCGGCTGCTCAGCGTCGGCCGGTGGTTGTCACCGCCGACGCAGCTCCACCGGCGGAGTTTCATCTCATTCAGCGGATTCAAAGAGCTCTTGTGGAGTTGCGCGAGTTGAGGAACCAGTTTAATGCTATTCTTAGGGAAATAGAGCTTGAAGGTTTGTTTGTTTGTTTCTTAGTTTTTTTTTGTTACTTGGTTGGTTGTTGTTGTGATCATTAGATTTGATGAATGCAGTGGGAGGAGGAGGAGGAGAAGAAGAGCAAGCGGAATCATCAGTGGAGGATCCAGAGGACGACTCTGATTCTTAGTTTATTTAGTAGATGTTTATGTTTCAATCTCTGTCCTGATGATTCTTTTGTTCTAGACTCTAATGTGTGTGTGTGTTTGTTAGCTTTGTCTTTTTTATTTAGTCAAATCATTAAAACTACTAGCCTTGTTCCTCTTGTTTTTTTAACCGAGAATCTTGGTCCAAATTCAACCGAACAAAACAAAGTCAAAGAAGAGCTGCGTTTGTGCGGTGTTGAATGACTTGATGTAAGATAATACAAATTAATTTATTAGCAACTGGCCTTAAAGTGATTTGAAATTTCTGATGAGATCTTAAAGTCTCTCAGAATGATTAGCACCTTCTCCTCGAAGGAACCTGGTGTCCATTTGACATGTTTGGATCTTATATTACAGATGTTCATACTTGTAGGAGTTCAGTTGCAAGTTACAGGCATTGTGTGGCCTTCCTCATATTATTGTTCATCGTTCACTTGGTTTTCAGGTGTAGTTTTGGTTTTTGATCTTCAAAGTAAGCTCATGTTTTCTGGGATTTAGCTTTTATTGCAAGATTTCATTTTGTTTTTAAAACGTCATCTGAAGTTTAATCTTGTACATGATATTTCATTGTGAAACGGTTTGTAAGAAATGTGCAAATAACTAACTGTTTTTCACTGGTGTTTTATAAAAACCATATGACTCTACTGAAATTGAAAAACAACTAATCTTTGTCAGTGATATGAGTCTGGTTTAGTCTACATCTCCTTGCTTCCACAGTTTGTTTATCTATTTGATCTAGAAACAGAGTTACAGATGAAACAATGGGAATCTTGTTTAAATTACTTTAAAATCAGAGACAAGAAGAGGCTGACAAAAGTATACACTGCAACTCATATAACAGCTTCTAAGTGTTTGCCACGCTTAACAAAAGAAGAAGCAAAATATGTCTTTTAACTCTTGTTTTTTTATTTAATTTAGTTACCACCTAAAACCTCCATTATTTGTTTATTTTGCATTGTCCGAAGCAGCGGTCACTTGTCTATGACCGCCTTCAAGAAATGGATAATAACAGCATGTCCTCATTTACAAAGAGCCTCAAAATCCTCGAAAGAAAACGCAAGTAATCTTATTAAATTAGGCCCCTTTAAACTCCTCCTTATTGTTCATCATCTTTTTTCTCTTTTGATGATTGAGATTGTTTGTGTGTTGACATTGTCATGGTCTTTAGTATCATTTTAATTTCATAAATCAGGTTACATTTTGCTTATTGAGTTAACTCAAACACAAACTCGCCCGTTAACTAACGACTGGTAATATTTTTGAATTGTACTTATAAATCAAACGAAATTAAGTATAATTTATGTTGTTAATCAAAATATATTTTGGTAGAATTTGATGAATCAAAATTGCGGAAATGGATTCCAAAATAAAACCTAATCATGTGGCCTTTCATGTTCTTGAATAGCCATTAGCCCATCACCTAGCTTCCAGGAACCAAACTCTCATTACTACAACTTCAAGGATCATTATAGTTTCTATCATCTCTCGCTTCATGGTTTTTTTAAGAAATGTCAGTGAAAATGATGATTGATTCAACGTAGTGTTACTGTGGTAGTAACTAAGGTTATTGAAAAATAGCAAAAGAATATAGATTTTGTGTAATGTCTTTTTTTGTAACTTATTTTGTGCAGTGTCTTGCGTTATTGATGTGGGATATTTAGATTGTTTTTATTAGTAAAAGTCTAACGAATAAACCTTAGAGGTGCTGACCAGATCAAAGGCACATTTTAGGGAGTCGAGAAGTAAGAACATGCTGGTTATGTGAACCTGGTTCTTCACCGTGGCAAGTCGTACACCATATACACCTTTTACATAAATACAATAAAAATATCTTAAGATATTTCTCAAGTTAGAGAATAATTGTAGATCCTTATCTCTCTCTTTACAAAATTAATTAAAAATCAGAAAAAGTGCAGAAAAGGCTCTCTTCTGTACATCTATCAAGTTTTCTTCACAAGCGCGTGTTCTCTAGTATCCGATAAGCTACGTGTGTGTTAGATACACGCTCTAATTATTCACGTGGTGATTGAACAGAACTACTTGTCTCCGTGTCTATTTATTATCTTGTCGGAAAGATATTTACTATAAATATCTGATTTTTCTTAAGTGCGAAAATACGACGAAGAACACAAAATCGATAAAAGAAGAAAATCATCGGTTTAGAATTAAATTGGAAAAGAAACTTTTAAATGAAGAGGAACGGAGAAACGAAGAGGCGGAGGAACGTGGCAGAGGAAGCGGAGCAGGGAGGAGGTGGAGAAGATCCGGCGATGTGGGAGAATCTAGATCGGAATTTCAGACAAGTGCAAACTGTTTTAGACAGAAACAGATCACTGATCCAGCAGGTCAATGACAATCACCAATCAAGAATGGCTGATAATATGTCCAAGAACGTGGCCTTGATTCAAGAACTCAACGGAAACATCTCCAAGGTTGTTTCCATGTATTCTGATATCAACACTAATTTCTCATCGGCTTTTCACGGTGGAAATAACGGACACGACGGTGGTGGTGGTGCCGGAACCAAAGCTAATTAAACAACCTCATCTTTCTTAGTTGGACCGGCCGGTTTGAAAATTTTGAACCAGTTGGTTTAACCAACGATCAATACCAGTACTATATAAAGTTATGTTAGTTTTGTTGCAATGATTATCGTTAGAAAAATCCATGGGAAAAAAACCCATCATTTGGGTTATCCTAATAATGGTTTTGAGTCTTTTTCAATGTGTGTCTACTGCAATTTCTCTGTTAAAAAGTAATTATTTAGATTTTCCATTTTTTATTACAGTTATGCTATTTGAAACCGCTTTTTGCATGATCAACGACATTAATGGATGTTGTTGTTGTTAGATTTTGCAACTTGGAATGAGGTCGTCACGTGGTCATGCAATTTGGTATGACATGTAAAGTGATCATTTAACACACTTGTTTTCTATTGACTTTTCACAATTAGAGATGCACTAACAAAGCATATATTTTGAAGTCAGACCAATTATAATGCGGAGTACTATATTACAATCTGATTAGAGAAAACAACCTGAGTAGAGAAAAAGTTTGATGGTCCAAAGAGATAAACAGAATACAAACTAAACATTAGCAAAGAAGAGTATTTGGACCTGATGGGCTTTAGACAGAATGTACTTGCTTTGGATATCTTGGACTGATGCTGGGCTTACTTGACCATTGAATTTTGTTTTTATGGTCATCAGTTACATGAACCATTGTTTTTCTTTATAGAATTTCATTGAAAAGTCTAGCAAAGATAACTCGAATTATATTGAGTTGGATTGAGAACCAAATAAACGTCAACCTAAACTCGTCAACTTGTCAATATATTGACCTATCCAAAGTTTTATAAAATGATGTTTTGTTTGCTATTCTTCGCCTGATCAACTAATAAATAATTACTAAAAAAATTGTACATATAACATACCTAATAAGTAGGTGATCAAATGACAGATTAAGGACCTAATCACAATCTTTTGTGGCTATTTATATATGGAGACTTATTTGCAAATTAGGTGTCGAACTGATTTTTCCAAACTTTAATTAATTTTAATAATTAGGTTTCTATTGTTTTTTCAAATTTTATAATCTGAATTCAACTATTCCAAAACATTATTTCTATATATGGTTCAACAAAGTGACTACAGTACAAATGTACAATAATGTCAACAACCATAGTCTAATAGATTCATGCCCACTAGCTCCACAATCATATGGTTTTTTTTTTTTGGGTCAAAATCATATGGTTATCATTCAACATAGAAAACATGTTACAGTGGTTGAATAATTAAAAAAAAAAACTCTTCTACATACCTCAATTATAATTAGAATAATCATTGAGTAACAAAAGAAAAAAAAAACATAGAAGATGATGCAGAGAGTCAGAGAGAATCAAAAATAATCCTTAGGCTTGAAGCGATAGAAACAATTGAGAGCACATTAGGTAGGCAGAGCATCAGTCCAGAGATGTCCCGTCCCCTCAACAAATCTTAAAATTAATAAACAAAAACATAAGTTTCCACTTTTACCCTTCTTTCAGATCAATAATTACACTCCATGCCACTCCCTCCAACACTTTCTTCTCTCTCTCGATCTCCAAAATCTAACCATTCTCTCTCTCTGCTTCTTCTGGGTTTCTCTCTCTCCCTCCGTTAATTGTAATGGGTCTTGAGCTCCGTTCCTCGACAATGGCGGTTTCTTTGAGAAAGCTCGTGTCTTCCTTCTAAAAAAGCTCACTTTTTTTTTTGTACTTTACTTCCAAATCAAAATGTGTTGCAAATTAGCGTCTTTAGGAGTGTAAAGTTTCGATTTTTTTCGATTTGGGTTTGTTCAGATTAGGTTATTGTTTGTGTGTGTGTGTTTGTTGTGGAGAGAGTAAATTGGAAGTTAAGTTAGTTTTTTTTAGTGATCTGTAAAGTTTGAGAGATGAATCGAAGTTTTAGGGCACAAGAGTCGTCGTCGTCGTCTCTATTGCTGGATTCAGCAGAGAGGCAGAGGCAACTGCTTAGGGCTTCTATGATGGCTGAGAAAGATGAGGAGCTTTCTCTGTTTCTTGAGATGAGACGGCGTGAGAAAGAGCAGGATAATAATCTCCTTCTCAACAACAACCCTCATGAGTTCGACACTCCATTAGGTAACATTTGTGGAGAGACAAAGACAGCACTGATTTTATGTCTTTTCTGATTTGGGTTTTGATTGGTTATTGATGGGTTTTGGTTGTGTAGGTTCAAAGCATGGAACTTCACCGGTGTTTAACCTCTCAAGTGGTGGTGGTCCGGCAGCACGGAAGACTGGTCCTCCTGATGATTTTCTCAATTCTGAAGGGGATAAAAATGACTATGAATGGTAACTTCTTAACCAGAGTTTTTGTGAAGCTAAGATATTTACATGTTGTGTCGGTTTGGTTCATAGTATCAGTTCGCCGGCGATTATTTGAATGTGTCTTTAGCCATCTTAAGTGCAAGCGGTTTAAGTAATCTTTGGTGATTGTATAATTAGTATTTGAACGTATGAGATTTTTAAGTGATAAAGCTGTGGTGGTATAGTTATTAGTTGCTTTATGGTAAGTGGTAACCTCAGATTCTTTGTGATTGTGTTGGTTCTTCGCATTTCATTTTTATCTTTAGTATGCATTGTTGATTATGGAACTCTTTGTTTGTGAATCTTGCGTATCTGAGATGTACACCGGCATTGAATGCTTACCAGTTTGATAGCTCGCTGTATAAAGTGTTCATGTTCTTTGTGAATGTTACTAAGAAAGGATGTGGAAGTGTTAATAGTAGCGTATCTGTTATCTCTTATTGACATTTACTCTTTACTTTTTTAGAAAAATCATATCTTTCACAATCTAACTTTTCTTTGTCTTTTGAAGGCTTCTGACCCCTCCAGGTACTCCTCTATTCCCTTCTCTGGAGATGGAATCACATAGGACTATGATGAGTCAGAGTGGTGATTCAAAGGGCCGCCCAGCTACATTGTCTTCTAGGGTAATAATGTTTACCTCTTTCTATCAAACCCTGGATTCCTAATCAACAGCTAAAAATAGTGCCACTAGAGCTAAACTAAAGCTTCACTGATATATTGTTGTTACATGTTTTGGATTGTCACTACTGATTAAACCTGCAATGCATCAGTCTGATACGTTTACATCTCCAGTTTATATGTGCTGGATGTTGTTATGGATTGTTTCAGAGCAGCACATTCCACATCAGATTCTTGTTTGTTACACACTTAAATTGAACAAATAAGTTCCATTGTTTTTTAATCACTAAAGTGATTTCTATATTTGGAATCATTACTTCGTTATGGTAACCTGTGATTTGTATTTGTCATAGCTGGCGAATTCCTCATCAGAGCCTGCTGCAAGGAACCATTTATCATCTAGACAACCAACCTCATCGCCTGGATTAAGCTCTTCTAGTGGAGCAACTCGGAGACCTTCATCATCTGGAGGACCTGGATCAAGACCCGCCACACCCACTGGAAGATCATCAACACAAACAACTAATTCAAAATCCTCACGGCCTTCAACACCCACCTCTAGTAGAACCACCGCCTCCTCAACTACGCGGCCTTCTTTGACTCATTCCAGGTCCACTGTATCTACTACAACTAAGCCTGCATCGCTGAGTAGGTCAGCAAGTTCATCACGTCTCACACCTACTGCATCTAAACCCACTACTTCAACTACTAGATCTGCTGGTTCAACAACTAGATCCACCGCTAGCACCGCCACAAAGTCTGCAGGTCCTTCAAGGTCCACCACACCTCTGTCAAGATCTACTGCTAGATCTTCAACCCCGACGTCAAGACCCACACTTCCTCCACCTAAAACCATATCAAGGTCAGCTACTCCAACTCGCCGTCCAGTCAGTTCTGCAACTACTACTGCAAAGCCAACAGTATCCCAAGTCAAGCCTTCTTCTCCAGCGGCAAAGCCTATGCCAACACCATCCAAAACGCCTGCTGTATCACGTGCAGCTTCTCCCACAGTGAGGTCAAGGCCATGGAAGCCATCAGACATGCCTGGTTTCTCACTAGAAACTCCTCCAAATCTAAGAACAACATTACCAGAAAGGCCACTGTCAGCAACAAGAGGCAGGCCCGGAGCTCCGAACCCACGATCTGCTTCAGTAGAGCCTCCTGGAGGAGGAAGACCGAGAAGGCAGTCATGTTCACCATCAAGAGGAAGAACACCAATGTACTCTAGTGGTAGCTCTGTTCCTGCAGTTAACCGTGGATATTCCAGAGCCAATGACAATGTTAGTCCTGTGTTGATGGGAACAAAAATGGTGGAGAGAGTAGTCAACATGCGGAAACTGGCTCCTCCCAGATCAGATGACAAGAGTTCTCCTCAAGGTAACTTGTCTGCAAAGTCCTCATCACCAGACAGTGCTGGCTTTGGAAGATCGCTTTCCAAGAAATCCCTTGATATGGCTATAAGGCATATGGTGTGTAATCTCCTTCTCTATTTACCCCTTTCCCAATTGTGTTATAACTTATGAATCAACATTGTGATGTAAACAGGATATACGTAGAACCATACCAGGTAATCTGAGACCATTAATGACCAACATTCCAGCATCATCAATGTACAGTGTGAGATCTGGACATACTCGTGGCAGACCAATGAATGTTTCAGACTCTCCACTAGCTACAAGCAGCAACGCAAGCTCAGAGATCAGTGTCTACAACAACAATGGCAATTGCTTAGAGGCTAGCGAAAAGGAAGATGATGCAGGCAGCGAGAGAGGTTGCAGGTCTCCCCCTACAAGCTTACAAGGGAGATGAAAATTTGTAAACCGTTGACCTTTGAGATCGTCTTTGTCTTTTATTATTATTGTGAGTTTCTTTCACACGAGTTTGGTTATGATATGTGAAGTAGCGTTTTGACATTTTATGTAAACCTCTCCACTTGTCACTCTCATCTTACTTTTTAAGACTAAAGTCGCCTTCTGGCCGATTAACCAATTGATTTGTTATATTAACCACTTCTCTTATTGAATTCAAACATGAATGTCATAAAGTATAATAGGGCATAAGCCGTTTATATCACACAAAGTCACACACACATAATGAAATGCAAAGAGAGAATCACAGAGATGAAAGTAATGACAAAACAAAACAAAAGAGGGTTTCTTAAGCAGCAGCAACTGCTTCGGTGGGCTTGGTTTCAGGAACATTCTTCGGAGGAGCACTAGTAGTAGTAGCAGCAGCAGCAGCAGCCGCCGCCTCTTTTGGAGGTTGAGGAGCGAGTTTCAGGTGAGCTGGCGGGTTCTGTTTGAGCTTCAGCAATATCTGTCTCATTCTTGAAAGATCTGTAGGCTTACCAGGCTTTGGACCTTGAATCACAGAGATTGTTGGCTTCTTAGGGTCGTCCTCTTTCTTCTTGCCTCTTCGTTTCTCTATAGTTGGAACCTCTTTAGGAACTAGCTCTGCTATTGCCTTCCAGTAGTTCTTGCTGGCTTCAGCATAGAACTTCTCTTGCGTCTCCATATACAGCTAAAGTGTTCAAAGACAAACAAACGTATGAGCAATAGTCCAACGAATGCTATAAAAAAGGCACAATATCCAGCTAACATAACCTTATAACAGTTGAGTAAGATTAATTTTTACTAGCCATTGGACTTCCAGAGACAATTATTACCACCACATGACAACAGCGAGTTAAGGAACATATGATGAAACTACATTGTTTACCAAAAGTAACGTGTAAGGGAATAGAAACGAGTAAACACAAAAAGAACAAACCTTCTCCTTCTCTCTGTTAGCTGCTTTGTTGTTTTCACAAGTTAACTCCCTCTTCTTATAGAAATCCTCTTTGAATTGATTAGCTTCTTCAATGATTTGGTTACGCAACTCCTTTTCTTTCTTCTCCTTCTCCTCAAGTTGAATTGCGTTTTGTCTGCACATAATATAAGATAATAGCACAAACAATATGGAATCAGATCTATCCATCTGATCAACTTCACAGTTACAAAATAATAAACTTTGACAATAAATAAATGGCAGAACATCTACAAACATTAAGTGCAAACTAGAAGCAATCAAATTTGGGATCAATAAGGCATAGCACACGATTAATTACTCATCACAACACATTGATCAAGTAGCTAAATTTGCAGGGTACAAACTGATCATCATATACGAGATCAGATCTATGCATCCGATCAACTTAACAACCATTGCAAGATATAATCTTTGACATAAAAAAAAGACAGAACACCTTTTTTTTTGAACAAACCTCTTTCAAAAAAAAAAAAAAACTTGGGATCTATAAACTAAAGTTAAGTAACAAAACTTGGGATCAACAAGAAGAGTCTTTTTGTGACACAGATCCTCTTAGATCTGATCTAATAGACTGATTACTTCTTAAAACCATAGGAAGCTAAACAATTTCATAAACAAGGTCTGAACTTTAATCAATGAGCAGATCAAATCAAGAATTCAAGATCAAACCATGACATTAATCTAACAGATTCATCATAATTCTCAACTAAAGTCATCAACTTTACTCAATTGAAGTAAACCCTAAAGCAATATCAGATTCAAAACTCAGATCTAACCTTCTCCACTCTCTAAGAGCATATCCCTCATCAGATTCCATCTCCGAAGGCGGTGGCAAGATGGGACCATCGTGTCCACCGTTGGATCCGAACACGTCGTCTCCGTTAGTGTAAGCTCCGTAGTCAGAAGAAGGAGCTGCGAAAACGTCGTCGTTGGAGTCGTCTACGTGGACAGAGCCGTCGTAGGGTGAGAAATCAGTAGTGGCGTCGAAGGAGCCTGAGACAGGAACAGACTCGGATGCATCGTCTCCGAGTATAACGAAGGAATCATCAAAGACAGACATCTCTCGACGAACACAAGTAAAGTAAAGCTTTTGGTTTGGAGGAGACAACTCACGAATCTATCTTTCACGTTTGAAAGCTTTGTAATGAAGTAATGGGAATAGAGATGTTTTTTTTTATAAAACTTGTTAATGGGCTTTTTAAGGTTCGTAATTGGGCCAGTTGGGTGAGCATTTAAATGCTGCGTTTTGGTTTATATACATGGTTTAGGATTGTTGGTTTAAGTAATTTAAAAGTCAATCTCAAGACAACATCAAGTCAGAGAAGAAGATGAGATGATGGCTAGTGCATTGTTTTAACATCAATAAGACAATAACTAGTCAAGTGTCAAAGTATTATCACTAGAGATTACAATAACATCACAATACTATGAAATCTTAATGGGCTTTTAAGCTTTGTAATTGGGCCTGTTGGTGAGAAAAACTGCATCGGTTTAACTAGAAATCAATCCGCACGGAACATCTTTGATTTTCAAGTGTTCAAAAAAAAGGTTTAAAAAAAAGAATATTGTTTTTTGAATTGTATATTATTGAGATTAAATTATTATATTGTCATGTTTATGTGAGTATTTTGTGATCTTTGAATTTGTGTTGTTCATATGCTCAACCTAAATGATATTGATGCTTAACAATTTATTGTTTTTCTAAAAATAGAAAATAATGATATATCAAACGTACATAATACATGTCAAATGATAGTATAATGTACCTCTTAATTATTATATGTAGATAACCATTTATTATTTTTATTTTTTCAAAAATTGCTTAAAATATATTCAACAATATTATATATATAATATAGTAGTTTAAGTTTGGAAGATTAATTTATATACAATTCATGTATAATTTAAAAAACAATGTAAGCTCTTATATATTGATAACTGAATAAAAAGATGAATTTATTACTTAAAAAAATTAAATAATTATATTTTTGTCTTCATGCTTTTATTCACCAACTCCATCATTGATATTTATAACTCACTATGTTTTAAACAACCGAAGTTTTAAATAATAATCTAATTTAAGAAATTAAATTCATCACCGATTATGCTCTTTAAACTATATTTGAGAGCTTTTTAAAATCTATATTTTAAGAATAACATTACTATTAGTCAATTAAAGGTATCTAATTAAAAATATTATACAGAAAATTTAATATATTTTATATAATGTTGGTATAATATAATTTTGAATATTTAAAATCAATTGGGCCAAAAAAGTAATTTGAAAGCCAAGCAAATTATTGATAAAATAATTTAATTTGGGAAAATACCTTTGCGTCTCTGAGGAGAATATTAACTCCTATGAGTAGGTTTTTATTTTGGAAGTTGTGGGCTTCCATCAATGAATCAGCCTAACCAAAATTTCGTTGTTATAGAAATCTCCTTCGGGGTCATCAAACATTTTTGGGACGGAAAAAGTTGATGGTGGAGCCATTGTTTTTTTTTCTGAAGTTCTTTGGATTCTTCTTTGATAGGTGTGAGTTTGATGTCGATGAAATAATGAGTTTTAAAGGAAATTGTTTGATGTTAAAATTATACGTTTTTCATTTTTGCTTAATATAGTATTTCAATTTTTATATTGTATATTACTTATTTTTTTTTAATATTTAATATAAAATTTTAATGTAGTATTCCATTTTTAAAATTTTATATTTAATTATTATTTATTTTTTTATATTTTGTATTTCCTTTTCTTATACTTTATATTACGTAATATCTATTATTATTTACATTTAAGATATATGTTGAATTTTTAATGTAATATTTCCATTTTTATACTTTATTTACTTAATATCTATATTTTAGACTTTAAAATAAATGTTTAATGCTTAACTAGAGTTTAACCCGCACGTCCGTATATTTTTTTCGTTTTATAAATATATAACTTTAATATATCGTAAATGTTTAAACTATATAATTTACCCTTTTGCATTATATACTATGTAACTCTTTAATCTTATTGTTTAGGTTTATTATTACAATATATAGTGACTATTTTTATACATTTTACTTTTCATTAATTGTTATTACGTTTTCGAGTTCAGTACAATAAATCTAAAATATCAAATAGAGAATCTTCGTCAAAATATATATATATTTTGAAGATATATAGCTGTAAATTTGATCTTAAACATATGTTAATAATTTTACTTTTAATAAAATATTACATAATTTACAAATTTTAACTGGTTATAATAGTGGATGGTTATTTATCTAATGACAACATTTCAAAAAAAAAAACAGAATAGGTTAATTTACAAATTTAATAGATTTTTGTCATATTTTATTCACATAATACTTCTGTTTAATATAATATATACTATAATTATAAAATTTAATAACAATACCTTGAAGTTCTGTTATTTTTATGGTAAAATTTTAAATTAAATAATTTTCTAATAATTATAGATTATTAATCAAAAAATTAATTAATGTATTATTTCTTAAAATGCTAAAAAGTTTAGTAGGATTTTTCTAATTTATTCTCAACTGGTTTTTGTATTACTAATAATAAAATTCAAATTTATAATAAAACTAATGTATTATTAATATCCTTATTTTCTTATTAAGTTTTTATAGAAACACTATATATTTGATTGATTAATGTAAACATTCAAATATGTCATAAAAACAATTTTTTTAATGATATACTGATTACAAGATTAGTTTGTTGTTAGATTTGAAATATTTATTATATATATTTTTATTTGAAAATTATTAAATTTAAAAAACAACTTATTTTGATTAAACTACATGTTTTTTCTATTATGTTTTTGAATGGTTAGTATGATGAAAAGGTATGAGACTTTATTTCAGTGAGGAAAAACACTTATTATAGTGTGTTGTAAAGAGAATTTGATGACTGAAAATCGTGTTTCAAAAAAAAAACACTTAAGATAAGCAAAAAGGTCTGCTACCATTAAAAAACCTTAGTTAATGCATAGATTAATTGATTGGATATGTGATATATGTTTCGTTAAAAATTGATTGGATATGTGATATATGTTTCTTTAAATTATGTTATTATGATCTACTGTACTAGCTAAAAGATTATGTTTGGTTAGATTTAATTAGTTTCGGTTTAGTTTTAGGTACTTGCCAGCCCAGGTATATAACGTAACTATGTAAATATTGTGTCACGTGTGTTAATGTTAATGAAGTTAATGAATAAGTCCAAAAGTTAATGACAACTTTTAATAGTAGATACAAATAATGACTCTATTTTAATAGAGTAGATGTACCTTTTCTATTTTTTGAAAAACTGTGTATTTATTTATTATATTATATATTTACATATTTAAATGCATATTTTTAAATGTTGTATTTATATTTTTTAAATTATGTATTTACTTAATATTTCTTTTTTCTTATACTGTGTATTTCCAGTTCTTATACTTTATTTTAATTAAATATCTATATTTTATATTTTAAAATAGATGTTTAATGTTGACAATAAAAACATATGTTTAATGCTAAATGTACATTTTCACTTTTAAATTGTTTATTTACTTATTATCATTATTTTGGTATATTATATATTTAATTAATATCTATATTTACATATTTCAATGTATATTTAATGTACTACTTTCATTTTAAAATGTAGTGAATAAAATTATATCTCTATATTTAGAGACAAAATAGCCTTACTCTATATTTCTAAAAAAAAAAAAAAACTCTATTACAAAATCATACAATTAAGCAAGTCTACCTTTATAATACAATTTCACTATTTCAAAAGAAATTATACTAATGAATCTATAGGTGAATTGGAAATTATCTTATTTATTTAACTAAGAAAAAACATTGGATCAACATTATCATGTAATTTATAGGTAATGAAGCTATTAATACATTATGCATTTCAATACTACTTTAATTCTTGTAGCCACAAACATGTATGTTGTGAAGACCATGTTTTTGAATCCTTATTGTCTATATAAATATTTATTAATAGAACTTACTAACTAAAGTTACATGGGGACCAAAGCTATCATAAATCATAAAAAATAAAAAATAAATTGTATTAGTATATGTTGTACTCGAGCTGAAACCACAATCATTAAGAAGTTATTGTAATTTCATTTCTAATATACGAATTTCAATATAGATATATATTATATTCTTATTTTTCTTTATAATATTTTCACTCTAGATTCATATTTATAGTAATAACATTTTCAAGAAAAAAGAAATATGTATCTAACCTAAATTATAGTTTTTTGCATAAAAATAAATTAGCATAATTATAAGTATATATATATAATATTTTTAATAATGGACATCTATTGATATTAAAATAATAGAAAATAAGGAAAATACAACATTCATATATTATTAATTTTAAAATTATCGTTTATGTTTCTAAAATTATCGTTTATTTTTCTAAAACTGTCGCTTATTAATAATTTCATGTTTATAAGGAAAATCACTATTAGATATTTATAAGAAAAAAATGCGTAGTTATTTAAAAGAAATTATTTATCTTAAACCAATGCCTACTGACTTTGTAATTATTTTCAACACATATTTTATTTTAACTTGAAAATAAGGTTCGTTAAAAAGGACTATTACCATTAAAATAAACTTATAAATTGTGTAATTATAAGTAAACCAAATTTTTATTTAACCTTGCAAATAAGATTCTAGACAAAGGAATATTACAATTAAAATACAATTATAAGAAGTCTTTTTACAAATTTAGATGCTTAGTATTTTTAAACAGAAAAATAATATTAAATAATTATAATAAAATTATTTTTCTAATATTTTAATTTGTAGGAAATTTGTATTAAATAATTTTTTTTTATTTTAAACCCATGTTTAAAAAAATACTATTATTAAATAAGAATTTATATTGAAATATAATTTTTACAATTTTTAAAGACTTTTTTTAAAAAAGGAAACAAACATTTTTAAAGTTCATGTTTAAGATTTTTTAAAATTAAAATTAATTATTAAATTGAATATTTTTCAATTTTATAAATTTAATGTATTTTAACAGAAAATACTATTAAATACTTTTAAGAGAAATATTTGGTAAATATTTTTAAAATGTGATCAAATTT